GTCGGCTTCTTCGAGAAGGGTTTCCTGAAAGAATTTTGCATTTTTGTTTTTGGCGAAACAAACAATCAGAAAGCCGTTTTTGAAACACGTCATGGATTGTCATGGTCTTTTGTTGCATCGCTGTGTCGAAACCAATTTTGGGCTGGACCTATTGTTGAGACCTCAAACTTGGCCTTGATACTACGTAAAGTCTTCAGAAGCAGCTTGAGACGACAAAGATTGCATTGCATTGCTTGCTGGGGCCCAAGGTGAGACCAGATTCTCCTTGAAAGCCTAGTGCCTAGGGCCCTTGCTAAGCGATGGCAGTCGCAAGACTGCCAAAGCGTCGCGAGATGTTCGGAGGATTCTGGCTCGGACCTTCAGATGGCTCCATGCAGCAGATACACACAGACACAAACAAACACTGTACAAAGTTCACTGTCTGTGGGTACTTGTATAAAAAATATATCATGACCATTTTACAAACTCTAGAGGTGGAGGCTTCATGTTTGTCATTGCAGGCTATCAATATTTTTTGCGATATGTTTTGGGGAGAATGGCGCTTTGGGAGAAGGGGACTTCAATCATCTACTGGATTGATTGATTGAGAGACCACTTGCTGAAGAAGAATGTAGGCTCATTTGGATGGAAGACTGAACAGAAGATGAGAAGATTTGGTTGACAGCGAAGCATATGGGTAAGAGGAACACCGCTCAGACAAGATAGAGGTTTTAAATTAAGCAACGAGCCTGAAAGGCAGTATTTCTCTCCTGAGGTAACTCTTTTGTTAGACCTCCTTCTCATCATCGTTTTGTCTGAGTGTTCGAGCGATGCTCCTCTTAATTTGTTTTTTCTCATTGCCCGGAGGAGGGTGTATGTGTATGAGTGTTTCCAATATTGTACGTATGTGTATATATATACATAAACCTACACATAAATAGTTTCCTATCATTTCAGCCTCATTTTGACAGATGGAAGTTCCGAGCGACATAGAAGAACCTGTCTGAGGTACACTGCAAAGCATTCTTGTGAATGGTTGAAATACTGCTAGCAAGAGAGCTCAAAAGGCTCAATGAGGCTCATGGGAGCAAAGTGGACGTCCTTGTGCGGATGCGTTTTGGCCTTTGGCAGGCAAAATTTTTGATCCTCTGGCATATCTCTTGCGCGGGCTTCCGACACGCAGCTTTGATTTCAACTCCACAGTTATATAACCAACAGTGACGGAGTGCCAGTCCCTGGATTCTATCGACCTTCTAAACAGGATTGCAGCGGTTGCCCCAGAAAGCATGTGGTCCTGATGGAGTAAGCTACTCCCTGCTCAAGGCCCTGCCAATTGAAGGAGTCACGGAGCTGTGCAGCATGTACAGGAGATGGGAACTTGAAGGACGCCTGCCTGACCAAGTGCGCACCACGCTGGTCCTGTTGCTGCCCAAGAAGGAGGACATCGAGAGGCCGATTTCCTCTATCGGACGTGGTGCCGCCTGAGATGGGACAAGCTCCGCCCCTGGCAGTGCAGCATTGGTCAAAAGCTGACTTGGGAGCGCAGTGTGCCTGGCACACATGTCCTGCAGGTAGCTCTGATGAGACTGTTGAAGTGTGAAGTTGGAAGAGCTACTGGAAAACATGTGGTGTCGCTGCTGGTGGACCTCCAGTGCTTTTACGACAGTGTGGAGCTGGAGCAGCTGTTAGGAGCGTGGGAACCTTTGGACTTCCCCCCAGCGGTGATGAACATGGTCTATGAAGTCTACACTGGGCCTCGTTTGCTCCAGGCCGAACAGGTCACGTCAAGACCAGTGACGTGTTCAAAAGGCATCTTGGCAGGATGCCCGGCAGCTCCCCTGGTAGCCAAACTGATCCTGGCCCCGGTGCTTGGCCCGTTCAAGGAGCAATTCCCCAAAGCCTCCATTGATGTATGGGTGGATGACATTTCCATCGACTTTGTTGGGGATAGTGTGCAAGCAGTGTGCCGACAAGCACTACAGGGCTTTGATGTGCTGCAACAAGGGCTTCAAGATGCAGGGCTGAAGCTGTCACTGGCCAAGACTGGATACCTGGCATCCTCCAATGACTGCAAAAAGGAGCTGACCATCCAGCGACGGGAAGATCAGCCCTCTGTTCACGAGCTCCTGAAAGACTTAGGACTGGATTCCAGCGGAGGGAGAAGGAGGAGGATTGGCACACAACAAAAACGTCTGCTGAAGGCAGGGAGGAGGAATGCCAAACTTCATCACCTCAAGATCAAGTCCCGGCCCATCCGCATTCGAGTGTGGAAGACATCGGTGCACTCAGCAGCTTGCTATGGCCTAGAGGCGCAGGGCATAGCTCCATCCGTACTCAGCTTGCCAGACATGGAGGGCTACAGAAGGGAGGCAGCGTTGATGTGGTCTACGACCAACATGGCCACCTGCAGGATCCGTTGATGACGGTGGTTGAGCGCCAGCTGAAAGCAATGCATCTGCTTGTCCTCAAGTGGCCGCCGGAACAGCTTGCAGAACTTCACACTGCATGGCGTGTCAGTTGGAAGAGGCTGAGAGCAGCGGCATATCCTTGGATGGTGGTCACAGGACCGATGGCAGCCCTGCAAGTATATCTTATGGACATGGGATGGGACGCCAGCAGCCTGAATGACTGGATCAGGCCACAGGCCACCGGCACAGCTCAACATGGAGTTTCCTTGGCCATACAGCTCAAGATTGAGATGGACAACCAGAGGGCCAGGAGGATCCAGGAGCTTGAGCATGCCTTCCCCCTGATGCATCGACCTGACTGGAGCAGCTACCACAAAGTCATGAAGAAGGCCAACGGGGGTCAGAAGGCAGCCATCAATGCTTGGACACAAGGGTCCTTGAGAGCCCACTATGGGGGTGAGCGTATGATGTGCCCGCTGTGCAAAGTCCCCGTGAGCATGAAGCATTTGGTGTGGCAACGTAGCTATCATACTGAACCCCTGCCTGAAGAGTGGACTCAGATGATTGCAGCCAATGAGAATACAATGCTGTGGGCCAGGGGACTCATTGAACTACCAGCCTATGACCCCATTCAAGGGGTGGACTCCTGTGAAGTTGGAGGCATCTTCACTCATGGGTGGCCTGTCCGCATTGGACCACATCAGAGGCTGGCAATTGGGGCGCAAGCTACGAGCAAAGACAAACGGCTCAGGAAGTTTGCGGTTGCAGTGGTAGCCACACAATGGCAAGATGGGGGATGGCAACTCATTGGCCACTGCACTGCATTGGCATGGTTCTTTGGATGTTGGCTCACGCTGCAAATGGTGTTGGGGCGCCACCAGCTCAACATACCACACCATGGAGGGTGGGCAGCCATTCGGAAGGGAGCTCAGGGCAAAGTGGCACCAGATCTTTGGCATCATCTCCCTGAAGAGGAATGGTCCAGGCTACAGCTGGTGCAGGTGCCATGGAAACTGCTCAAGAATCAACAAGAAGATGTACGGGGCAAGAAGCAGTATATCATGGCCAAGGAGGTGGCGGCTAGACGTGCCAACCTGGAGCGGCCAACCTCACCGGAGAATGAGTTAAAGGTTGAGGATCAGCTGCACTTTGAAGTCTACCAGGTGGCTGGCCAAAGAATTGGTGCGATCTTGCAGGACAAACACCACTACTCACTACATGAATGGCAAGCTGGAGCCAGTGCCGGAGCACACCACCTCCAAAGCCAAGTCCAACCCCAGAGGGGGAAGAGTTGAGGTGCTCAGACAGCTTACGCAGCGCCCAGCTCAGAAGGGAGCCCATCAGTGGCAGATGCACAACAATGGGGTGAAGTGCAGCCTCTGTCACAAGAAGATCAAAGCCTGTGCCACGTTTGCTGAGATTGGGCAGAAACAAGATACGGCATGCAGTGGCTTTGTTGAGCAGACAATGGAGCAGCAGTTGCGCCAACTGGTGGATGAGTCAAGTCTATTGGCTGAGGGACAGGAGGGACATAGATGGTACCTCCATGGGAACCACTTTGGATGCCGCCAATGCTGGGAGAAGATTCCCAGGCGCAGTGGCAAACACCTGCTCCAGAAGTTGCAAGCCAAGGAATGCATTCATGGGCCAGTGGATGAAGCTGCACTCAACATACGACAGCGGATCCACCCAAGTCATGCTTTGATGAGAAAGGGCACGTGGCTTGAATGTCAACAGTGCCGCAAGTATGGCAAGATAGTGGATGGACGAATTGCACAATGGGTGCATCAGCCTTGCTTGAAGGCAAAGGGCCAGAGGACCCTAAACTTTGGGCCTGGAAGCTCAGATAGCTGAGCTAGGCATTTGATGGTCTACAAGGAGAATGAGCCTTGGACCTGACTTGTGCTCGGTCACTTTTGCCTAGAAGGCGTGACCACAGACCTCGAGGATTGCAGTCCAAAAGAACCG